AATTTTTAATGTTAATTAAAGTGTATTTAATTAAGTACTTTCCATAATCTGCATGTTTACTGTGAAATTTTGGTTTACCTTGATGCATAGTACTGTTATAAAAATGTGGTCATTTATTCTGTTTCCAGCAATGTGTTTGATAATAACGAAACATTAAGTATCTTCCTTTAGGACACCAAGTGTCTACAGGAGACTTTCTAACCTAAGTGAGAGGGAGATGTGGCAAGGAAATTATAAGAAAATTATCAATGAACTTCACTTTACTGTTTTTTTGTTTGTTTGTTTTATTGTCTTCACTTTATTGTCACACATCATTTCCTTCTTATTTTTTTTCTACTTTCAGTATTTTCATTACTTACAACACTATTTAAAAATATTACAATTCCATTTTATACATAAATCCAACTAAAGATTTAAATCCAGTGGGATATAGACATAATTTAAATAAATTGCTCATACTTTAAAATGATATTTTTCAAAGATTATTCTCTGTCAGAAAGTGTATTTATTTCATCTGAGGATAAAAGATCCTATTAAAAGACAAAGATGAAAATATATTTGGTAAGCAGTTTGTTTACTAAAATTTTTTTAAGTTTCTAACTTTTAAATTGAATGTGTAGATAACCATACCATTTTATATTGATATTGCTACCACTGATTACACCCAGAGGTCTTGCTTTAATGCAAAATTTCTATAAATTCTGAACAAACTAACTTTTGACATTTTTAGTTAGCAATATAAGCCAAAAGACAAGACAGTTATTTAGGTGAGCTTGCTTCATTAAATGACATTTTAATTAATAGTCCATTCAACTTTGAAAAATGTAGTTATTAAGCATCTTCAATAACTCTTCACTACTGGAACATATAAGATCACAGTTTTTGACTTTTTGTTAGGGCAGTAATGCAATTTGGTTGGATGCCAGATCTATGCAGTAATAAACAGAAACATTTTTTAAAAGATCAACTAGAAAAGCCAAGTTTGACATTGATAAAGGAACTTAACTGAGCACAAATGTTTGGTCTTCCCTATAGATGTGGACAGCCAGTTACAATTCTCCCTAAAGTTGAATCAGAAAAGTGACTTTTTGATTTTTCTTCTTAGGGCCTTTATAACAACATAAGTTCTTATTGACTTATCTGGTTTTGTTTGGTTGGTTTGTTTTTTGGTTTTTTAGTAAGTTCAATGAAGATAATGTAATGGGAAGATTTTTGGTTTTGTTTGGCTTTTGTTTGGTGATTGCTCATTAGAGGTTCTGCCAATGATTAATTCATTAAGAATAAATTGGACATGTCGCCATACGGTGCTGAGTTTAAAATGTGTTTGATTTGAGTTTTTGCTTTGTATTCTGGTAGTGTTAAAATAGCAGATATGCCCCTCACTTTTTAGTGTATTTTTATAAAATTCCAGTAGTTCCATCTTCCTGATCAAGTAATTCTTTTTGATTTTTTTCTTTACAAATGCAAGTTTGTTCTATATTAGCAGTCAGCCATTATTTTCTGTGAATAATGTGGCTTTGCAGGCCATAATGGTCTCTGTCCCAGCTACTCAGTTCTGTTCTTATAACACAAAGTTTTCCATAACAGATAACATATAAACAAATCAGTGTGGGTGGGTTGCAATAAAACTTTATTTATGAACATTACTTTTGATACTACTTAACTATATTAAAATCCCACTTTGTACATAAACTAAAATCCAGCTAAAGATTTAAATCCAGTATTGTTACAGCAAGTGTCAGTAACCGGTCCCAGGGGAATAACCGAGCGGCACGCAGAGAGTTGGAGGGTCAGAAAGTTTTATTTGCCGGCAGGCCCAGAGGAGACTTGTCTCCAAATTCTGAGCACCTCTTCCGGGTTTTTGTCAGGTTTTATACTTTTTGGGGGGGTTACTCTTAACAAATCACACACAAGTATAAATGATTAACCAATTAGCAAAAAGATTTAAAACTTATCCAATAAACAGTAATTCTTATAAGTAGTAGAATTATGATAGGCTTATAACAAACATTAGAATCATGATAGGCTTATAACAAATATTATAATCATGACAGGCTTACAACAAGTATTATAATCATAGCAGGCTTATAACAAATATAATCATGGCAGGCTTGCAGTTTTGTTCACCTTTGCTCAACTGCTCTATGATTTTAGCTTGCAAGGCTGACAGGTGTCAGTGTCTACTTTTGCTGCTTTGTGGTTTTAAGTAGAATCAGCACAGAAATTCCCCTAGTATGCATGGAAATTTCCCTAACAATATGGTACATATGAATGTAAATGTTCATATAATTTTTATGTGTCACTAAATAGTCCTTTGATTGTTTTTAAAACCATTTAAAATTATAAAAACTTGTCTGAGCTTGCAGGCTGTAGTTTGCTGATGCCTGTTTTATTTGATCAACGCTTTGTCATTGACACTATAATAGAAACTTACATTCAGGTGGTTGAAGCTTAGGACTATTGAAGAGAAACAATGTATTGGCCCCTGCTGGGTGAAATCACACAGCCCTACCTTTTCCTGCCAGTCTGTGTATCTGATTTGTGATTTTTGTCTAAGTGCTTAGTGCTGCCTGGTAATCCTCCTCTTCTTAGTTTTCTGTTCTCTCCTCCATGGAGACTGTGTCAGATATTCTCTCTCCTCAAAACTCCAGCCCTGTTTGCCTCCCCACCTATCTCACGCCCCAGCATATGTCCTAGCCTCTTAGTTAACCGAGAATATAGAAGCTGTCAAGCAGGAGCTCCATTTCTTGCCTCCACCCAGCAAGCCTAACTACACATAAACCCATTCATTCTTACTACCTGCCCTCCTGTTGAGTTGGAAGGAGGTCTCATCTTGCAGCTGTGTTATTAGATACATAAATACGTATCTTCTGCTAATATGGTCTCATCTGCTTGGTTGTCCATGAATTTCTCATACATCCCAATTTACTGACTGATTTCCTTATTTTGTTTTTCAGTTTTGTTGTGAGTTTATTCATTGTGCCTTTTATGTCATTTTAAGCAATGTGGTGTGGGAGAGGAGGAAAGGTGTGTTTTCTCTTCTGTGGTGCCTAATCCAGTCTTCCTTATGCCATTTATTTCACTCTTCAGACACCCATCTCTTTGCTTGTTTTCCTAATGTTGATGCTGTATAGAGTCTTGCCCTAGGCCCTCTTCTTTTACTCTGTATCTTATCTTGAACCTTCAGTTACCCACTTTATCCTAAAGGCTCCCAAATGTGTATTTCCAGCCTGTATTTTTCTCCTGCACTTAACTTAAATGGTCACATGCCTATTAGTTATTGTCAGCTTCAAAACTACTCTTGCTCCTGCATTGCTTATCTTGTTAGATGATACAACCATCCCTTGGTTGCTCCAGTGAAGAATTTTGGCATTATTTTAGAAACTACACTCCATTCTATTGATTCAACCTTCTGAATATCTCTCCATTCTCATTGCTAATTGAGGACACAACAGTCTTTTGCCTGCCGTACCCCCTCCCCACCTTCCATCCCTAAATTCTTTTCTACACTGCTTCCTTGATTAATCTTTCTAAACGGTAGAGCTTCTCTACTAGCTCATCCTTCAGTAATTGCTCATTTCCCTCAAGAAAATGTCCAAACAAAGCCTATCATATTTGCTTGTTATTCCCTCCTCACTCTCAACCCAGCCTGAATTACGTTAATTTACCCTACTGTGCCGTGCACTTTTCCTTATAGCCTTGAAATATACTATCAGGGATACTTCCCTATCTTCCTCAACTCAGCATCCTTGGGCCCCTGCTTGGATAGCACTTCTTCCTAAAGCCTGTATTAGATCTCCACTCTGAACTGTAGTCATTTATCTATACCCTTAACTATCCTGAAAGCTCATAGGGCAGAAACTATATAAAACCTTGCTCCTAGCGGGGAGGGGGGAGGAGGGAGGAGGGGATGGGTATTTGCATACACAAAGAGTGCAATGCGCACCACCCAAAGGATGGACATATTTGAAACTCAGACTTGTGGGGGGGGCAAGGGCAACATACGTAACCTAAACATCTGTACCCCCATAATATGCTGAAATAAAAAAAAAACAAAAAAAAAAACCTTGCTCCTAGATGGGAGACACTTCATACCATGACCATTGGTTGAGTGGATTTTCCTACATCCTTTTAGGTTAGAGTCAGCATTTCAGTCTCTAAGTTAGCAGCTTCTGGATGGTAGGTGGCTTCCTTGATAAGTGGAAGTTGTCACTTTTGCCGAACATGGTTGAGACTACCTGTTGTCCCCAGCTGAATCAAGACACTTAGAGAACCGGGTTGTGAGCAGCAGCCCGTATCTTTTCATCTAGGACCATCTTCTCCAGCCCCCAGAATATTTCCTCCTTATGTTTTTTAGGCAAAGCGGATTTTTATTTTGACTGCTCTGGACCCATTTTTTTCTCCTCAAATGTAAGCAGTGTCAGATGCCAAAAGCTATCCCATGTGTTTCTGTCATTTGAACGAACTCTTTGAAAAGTGGTACCTTCACTGAGATGCATGTTTTGAATTGGCATTTTATTGTCTTTTTAACCCTACTTCTTGAATCATGCTCTCTTAAGCTTTGGACAGCAAGGGTGGGAATTTAATCTGTGGCTACTAAAAGGGGGCATAATTGAATACCCTACTTAGAAGCTCACATCTGGTCTTCTGACAAGTGATCTAGGCAGTTCAGCTGCCCACAGTTGTTGGATCAGGAGACCATAACACACATCTTACCTGGGGAAAAATAAAAAACTGTATAAATAGTTACTTTTTGCCTCCAAACAGTAGTAATTGTTCCAAACCTTTACAGAAATAATGTAACTTGTGAAAGTATTGCTTCTGAGAGGAGAAAAGATAGAAAAAAAGAAAGGGGGGAAAATGCTAGATACTATACAGTGCTTTAGAACCAAACGTTGGCCGTATTCAGAAATGGGAGTTAGTGTCTGTTATTCTTCGGTCCTTTCCAGAAGTTGAGCCTCAAGGATAGTAGGGTTTGGAAAAGAATGGTTTTTGTTTTTAGTTTTTTAATTTCCTTGGCAAAGAAGTGAAAGAGAAACACTCGAAAACCATATACTCTTCTCCCATGCTATTCATTTAATTCTTTGTTTTAAAAACTTTTGAGTTTATCATAAAATTTTGAAAAACATTTGTCACTTTTATTTTCTAAGTGTTTTTCTTCCATACAGGAACTTTACATTGATGGAGACTAATTTGTGTGTTTTTCTTTTTTTTCTTTTTTTCTTTTTGCATGCTGTCCCCTGTGTTGGAACTCTCAATAGAGAGTAAGTTGGTTCAATATTTGTTGGAAACCTAACTTTACTGCATGACTGTGAAATTAACCCTTTTTCTCTATTTTTCTCTCCCAAAGAGTTCATGCAGTGTTGGACCCTTTGCAATCCACGAAATGCTATTTGCAGTTATGCAAACTGTCATTCTGTTTGGAGATGTGCTTTTTAATCTACTAATTAATCTAATTTGATTATGTTCTTCTGTTCTGTATTTGATGACTGGCACACCTAAGATATAAGGGAGTTTAAGAAAAGGCTGCCTCAATTGTAATAGCTTAAATATTTAATTCTTTTCCAACAAATTACTGTTGTGAGATATGTGGGATTGTAAGTTGATTCCATTTAAGGTTGTTCCCACTGAATTATTTTTAAATGATTCCCAAGTGTCACAATTACTAAAAAAAATTTAGCCCCTACCTCCCCATGTGTACTTTCTAATATTCTATTAATGTCATTCCATAAAAGCAAACAGAGTAGATTATGGAGCAATGATTCTCACCTTTCTCTTCTGAAATAAAAAGTTTATCCCCAATATTATTCTAGAATTATATTAGCATATCCACTTACCATTTTCTTTAATCACAGATAAGGTAAGAATGGTATATAATCTTACCGATAACATAAACAGTCAATTAACAGATATTTTGTATGTTATATATATTATATACTGTATTCTTACAATAAAGTCAGCTAGAGAAAAGAAAATGTTATTAAGAAAATATATTTACTATTCATTAATTAGAAGTGAATCATCATAAAGATCTTCATCCTTAGGCAGAGGAGGAAGAAGAAGAGGGATTGGTCTTGCTTTTTCAGGGGTGGCAGACGTGAAATAAAGTCCACATATAAGTGGATCCACACAGTTTAAATTCATGTTGTTCAGGGGTCAACTGTACATATATATATATGATCATTTAGTAAGTACCATTGATAGGATATAGTATTTTCAAAAGATAATAGTACAGTTCTATATGTAGAGTATAACAAATAGCATGTCTACATTTTTATTCATCTATTCACATTTTATCTAACCAAATGAAATTTCTACTTAGGATACTTAGAGAAATCTTCTTGAGGAAAATTTCATTTTGAATCTTGACAGGAGGAACATAAGCTTTGGATATGTCAGCATGAGAAGAAAGGGCCTCCTGGAAATGGTAGCATGAGTCCAGAAAAAGAAGTAGGAGATGCCAGAAAGTTTACAGGAAATAAAAAGAAGTTAATCTTGGCTAGAATGAAGGAAAGGTCTTCCCTCTTTAATTGAGGAAAAAAGCTTGGTTACCAATTTGGGATAAATTTTTACTTAAGAGGAAATTCTTACATTCAGTGAACAACTTTTTATTTGGTCCTCAGTCTCTGATAACTTTGAGCTTGGCTCTAATTGGTGATATAAGACTGTATAAAGATGTACTCCTTATTCTCAAGTGGTATGTGTTCCAGATGGGAAGATAATATAACTACAGAAAAAGTTAAATAGCACCATAAATAGCTAGCACCACTATGAGTTCCCAGTTGGGAAAATCGGTGGCTATTATCTAAAATAGTCCAAGAAGCTTCTTGGCTGGGATTTGAGTGGAAATTTTGTAGGGCGTCACATACTGTGTGTAAATGAATGGAGTAGCGGTGTGGTAGGAAATCAGGGAGGTAAGTGAGATGTGTCTAGGGATAAAGGGTGTATGTTGCCAGATAGTCCAAGATCAGTTTGTAGTTAGAATCTTGTCTAAGGGTTTGAGACATTATCTTATAGACAATGATGGAGCATTAAGGGATTTTGTTTCTGTCAAAAGAGTGATATCACAGTCTAATGGTGAAAAAAGACACCTGAGTTGTCAAATTCCAGCCCAAATCTGCCCTGCTGCCTTTTTTGTAAATAAAGTTATATTGGAGCACAGCCATGATCATTTGCTCATGTGATCTCTATGGCTGTGCTGCAAGGGCAAAGCTGAGTAGTTGCAATAGAGATTGCTTGGTTTGCAAAGCCCTAGGATATTTACTATCTGGCCTGTTACAGAAATGGTTTGCTGACCCCTGGTATGCAAGAAATGTAAAGACTAAAGACAGGCTACTACAGAAATTCGGACCTGAGGTCAGAAAATTTTAGTGCTTATAATGATAGTATGATAAACAAATTTTCGGGAGGCCAAAAGAGAGCTATTCTGGAGATTCTCGGGCTTCATAGTGTAGACCAGAGAGACCTTGTCAAAGAGGTCACACTTATGATGAAAAGAGAATCAGGATGAAGACATTTAGGATGCAAAAGGTGAATTCCTGGCAACCAGAAAGGAATGAAACAATAAGAGGAAAGCAGTGTCAAGCTACAGAATGGCCAAACATACTAAACTTGTGAAAAAGCCATTACACATCACAATTAGAAGATAATTGGTTAGGATGGAAGCTGAAAGAGAAATTCTTGGGATGATATCTGCATGGATAAGCAAAGGATTTTGGTAGAAAATAACAGTAAAGATAGTAGAGGAGACCATACTTTAGAGAACAATAATATAGAATAGAAAGATTAGCCTTAAAAATTAATAAAATCAGTTTTTTCTTGGAGAAATGATTATTAGAAGGATAAGTGTAGAGGAAATCAAATTGAGCAGAAAGTCAATGAAGAATTTCATTTTGAATGAAAGTAAAGTAAATTAGGTGAGTCATCTAGTAATAGAATGGGTAGAACACAACTGAAAACCAAGTGACTTCGCTTCAAGTCCCAGCCTAGTCATTGACCAGCTGTGAAACATTGGGCAAGTCTCTTAATTTTCTCTGTTTCCTCATCCATAAAATAGGAGAGTCAACTTAGGCATTCTAATGTCTATGATTTTCAGAATGGATTTTCATATAGGAAAGCTTAAAGTTGGAATCTTCAGGAGCACAAGCAGGAGCTGAAACAAGGGCGAAAGTAAACCAAAGAATAAGAGAGTCGGGTTCTAGTAAACCAGCTTTGGGGGAGAGTCAGAAAGGCCTGGTTTGTAGTGTTTGCCTAATTCTGAGGTATAAATACTTCTAAACCACAGCTGATTTCAGGCTTACCCACCACCTCACAAAATTCCTGAATATTTAACAATAGACTCTTGAGACAGGTACAAGCTGACTCCAGCACACTGCTGGACAGATTTTCCAGGTAGCAGTAAAAGTGAGTACCACATTAAATAAATGCACTTGTCATAGACTAGGTCTAGTGAAGTTTCTTAACAATATTCTGGGCACCAAGGAGAGAACCAGAGACAGTTTAAATGAAGCAGTCAGCCAAGTTTGGAATCTAAGAGGAGCCAAGTTTGAGGGTGGTTGGAAGAGGATTGGGATAGAAAGTAAAGGAATTTACGTTGTGAGTAAGAACAGTGTTGAAGCAGACACTGCCTGCTTCAGAGAGTACTAGAAAGCAGACCAGAGAGTACTAAAAAATTTAAAGTATTCGTAGTTTCTGCTTTTACAAATATAGAATATCTTAAGCAAATAACTAAAATATATTTTTTATTTTTAACTCAGATTCAAATGTTAAAGCTAAGTTATACTTCTGATAGAGAAAATCCTTCATTTCTAACATAAGAGCTAAAAACAGTTCATCTATAACAGTATAAGCGGAATTCAAGAAATATACATTGAAAGCAAAAGCCTAAATTCCCAAATTAGCATAGTTACTTTTTGAGGTTATTAACTATTTTTAAAACTATAGTTTTTATCTACTGTGATTATAATTTGTCTCATAATATATAGCATGTCTCATAATATAGCCTGGTTGACAGTCTTAAGACATTTTTCCTTTGTACCTAGAAATAAATTTTCCAGTATGGTATTGAATTTCTGGTAAAGATATAATCTTATTATAGGTCACTTTTCAGAAGTATTTTAATGTGATACATCATTTATGAACATTAGCTTCCCTTCATTGTAAAAAATTTTTTTCATCTCATAAAATTTTTAAAACCAGTAGATTAATATTGGAATCAAATATAAGATCCATCAATAGAAATGGAGACTAATAGCATGCCATCTAGGACCTTTTTTTAAATCACTAAAATTTAGATGTAGACATTTACCCTGGACTTGTTTTTTGTGGTTTTTTGTTTGTTTGTTTGTTTGTTTTAAGATACAGCTATAGTTATCTCAGATCATTAAAAATTACTTTTGAGGCAGTTTTAGTAAATAATATATCTCATACCAAAATATTTATGACAATTGTCATTTTGAGAAATCTGAGGATTCTCTAATTACCTCATTATGCCAGATAAATTTTATACTTGTAAGGTAGCTGTCAGTATGGTCATCCTCTGGTTTTACTCAATGCCACTCTTCTAAAATGCTGAGAGTCAGTGAGGCTATATGTAGTTCCTTTTCCTCAATTTTAGATAGGGTGGATTTCAGTTTAAGCTGTGGTGTCATTGATAACATTAGGTGTGCCAGCCATTATGGCCAAACTTTCTTTACCAAGTGATGCTGCATGGAATAGCTAATTGTCGAACTTCTGCAGAAGTTGGATAACGGTTCAGATGTACTCTTGTATCACAGAGTCCAATGAAAAGCAAGAGAGATTGTTTTTCCGCTTGGCTGCCAATCGCTGTGCCTCTGAATCCTGTATTCCTTTCTATTTCAGTTTTAAATTGAGCATAGAGATCAATATTTCCTTCTTTTTCTCCCCTCTTCTCCCCTTTATCAACTTTAGGTGTTCAGCATGTTTTTGGAGACTCTAGTGGATTTCATACAAGTCCACAAAGATGATCTTCAAGATTGGTTGTTTGTACTGCTGACACAGCTACTAAAAAAAATGGGTGCTGATTTGCTTGGATCTGTTCAGGCAAAAGTTCAGAAAGCCCTTGATGTTACAAGGTAAAATTTTTTTCGTATATTTCAAGTTTACTTGATAGTGATTAGGAATATTTAGTCCCTATATTAAAAATTCACATTTCTTGAGTCCTTTCAAACAATTTAGACTGCTTGTGCTCCATTTGAAAATTGTTCATTATGCCCATTCGCATTGTATATTTAATGCAACATTGTTCTTTAGGTCAAACCCTGCATTTCTTTTGTAAAATTTTTATTAATATTAGTTGAATAATTCAAGGTGGTGTTTTATTTTAATTAAGCTGTATCTGCAAAGTAAGGTTGAAGATTTTATTTGATCTAATGTAAATAAAAGTATTTTCTACATTTTAAAGGATGTTTTATTATGCATTTAAATATTCAAAATCTCTTTTCAGAAGATTTTGAGCCAATGATATATTTCTACTTTCTTATGTAGATTGTTGAAGTGACTTATTTCAAATATCCATTTACTAAGTTGAGGTGAGTCTAGAATTCAGATTTTAGGTATGGGGAAACATTTCTAAAACTATTGAACTTTTTGCTGAATATGTTTTTCTGATTAAATCTGTAGTTGAGACAAGATAGACTACTATTTATTGTAATGTTACTTTTTAACCCTGTACTGGGCATAAATTCAAATGTTCATGTTCTTCTGGGAATGCTTTTATTATATACTATACCACATATAGATACTGCATCATGCTTGCTATTTGAATATGTTTTGATGTTAAGCATAGTCTTTTGCTGCTACATGCCTACTTGCTGACTTAATTTTTTGTTTTGTTTTGCTGTATTTTTATTTCAGAGAATCTTTTCCAAATGATCTTCAGTTCAATATTCTAATGAGATTTACAGTTGATCAGACCCAAACACCAAGCTTGAAGGTAAAAATTTGAGGTCCTTTGAACTCATTGTAAAGGAATTGAAGTATTTTATTAATAAAGTTATGTTGATATTTGTATTTCTGTCACATGAGAAGCTGTTCAATCAGTGGGTTTTGTTTTTATAAACTTTCAGACAGTCAAGCCAGCACTTCGGGACCAGCTTCACTCTTTTTGGAGCTCCAAGGTTTTTTTGTTTTTGTTTTCATCTGCATTATTTCTTTTCTTAACTTTCTCTGCAGTGTTTCAGATAATGTTTGTATGCATTTATATTCAACTACTAACCTTTGTAAGTCTTTTACGCATGCACGTATTTTATTTCAAATATTATTAGATGCCAGACTTTCTTTTGGAGAAATTTAATGGGGATATGCATTAAGAAGGCATCACCAGTATGGCCGTCTAACCCTGAGCTGGTAATGCATACTTGCTCTATGAAGTCTTATCTAATTTTATGTTTGTGATTTCCCAATACTTGTTTTTTTTAGTTTTAGGACTTTTAATAGGTATTTTAGGCAATATTTCAGTTTTGCCTATGTATATATTTTAGCAAACAAAAATTTTTAAATTTAATCTCAGTGCTATTGTTCAATTCTCCTTAACTGAAATAGTAATTTTCTCTTTTTTTGCGATGTGATATTTCTGTGTGTGCATAAAATTTGGAATTTTCAATTTTCAATTATTATTTGCACAGATTTTCCAGCTAATGTGAAAACTGGCTGCATTCCAATTTGTGATGAAAAATTATTATTAAATTTAATGTAAAAGAGAAAACAATTTAATGTAAAAGGAGAGTCCTTGAATTCTATGCTAAAGATGTTTTTTAATGAATTTTATTAAATGAGATTAAAGTCAGGGAAATAACAAGCATATATGCTTATACGAATCCTATATGTTTCTGCTCTATTCTGCACGAAATATATTTCCACAAGCATTACTGCCCAGGGTTAATTTTTCCCTTAAGTTTCTGAATGCAGTTATACCTCACAATCACAATTATGTTTCTTACCAGGGTTGACTTTTACTCAACATGATTTTGTTTTCTCAGAGTTGCTTTGTGAAAAGGGTTTCATCTGTTTTGATTTTACAAAGTGACCTGTGAAGAATACTTTATTTGATATTATTGATAAATATTTTGAACTCATTTTATGTCCAAGGCATTGTTGTAGATACTCCTGGGAATATAAAACTTACAATTTTTATCATTACTATCAATAATAGATGATAAACTATAAACTGCAATAAAGGGTTATCATATAGGTACCTATGGTGGTGTTCAAGTGCTATTAAAAATGTGTGTAGAGATGTATCATAGGCCAGTGCAAATGAAGGTCTAAACTAGTTTAAGAAATAAGACCAATAGGTGAGTTGAGGGAAGTTGCTGAATACCTGGAGAGAAAGACAATCATCAAAGGGAAGATTAAAACGGGGAATTAGCTTTTCTGTTGGAAAACATTATACTGATAGCTAGAATCATAGATTGTTTCTCTAAAAGCCTACATTATTTACAAATATATATATTTAATATAGGTATAGATACAGTAGCAAAGCCATGGGGAAAATCTTCAACTCTTAAATCTGTGTTTTAGGATAGCAGGGAGAAGTTATATCGGAGCCATACCTTATACCAAAAGTAAAAGCAGTTTTCAAGTGGGTGATGAGATTAAATATAAAAAACTTAACAGATTCTAGAAAAACACAAATAAATTGAGTATGAGATCTAGAAAAAGTCTTTATTGAAAAAGTGATTGACCTTTCAAGTAAACAGTGGATGTTTGTATAGTGATTGACCTTTCAGGTAAACAGTGAATGTTTGTATAAAATTTTACATCTCTCACAGAGTATCTTGTGATTAAATGTCAAAAAGAAATCAATGGGGAAAATGGCAATACAAAGTGATTTTATTTGAATTAGTAATATTTTAAAAATAAGTATAATTTTTGTTGACCTCTTTTTCTGGATTTCACAAACATACTGAAGAATTACACATACCTTAGCAACTAGATCGTTTTTCCTTCTCTCAAAAAGAATGCATGTTTGCATTATTAAAATTATAGACGATGTATAACTTGTAAAATATCCTACTAAAAATACATACATTCAAATGATTATATGTGTATTTTGGTTATTTTGCCTATTAGTATAGTAAACACACATATTCTGTGAAACCCTCTTAAAATTTTGCATGATCATAAATTGCCAAGAAAGTGCACTGTTGAATCTCTCATAGTGCAAATAAATTTATTCAATTATTGATGGCGGCAAATTAAAAACACATCGATGTTCTTTTTTATTATTATTTAATATAGTCACCTTTCAGTAGTAACACTGATAGAAGCTGGCATAGCTTCAGAAATTCAGAATATTATGTGCCGCCATAATTTAGTTGTGCCTACTCCTGCAAAATTAACCAGAAGTCTCTTTTCTTGTCCACTGCACTTTTCTGAAAGCTAATAGGTTAACTCTTGGTTCTTGCAACACATTTATTTAAGTTATAATTACTTCTTTTTTTAATTGACAAGTAAAAATTATACATCTTTATGGTGTACAACATGATGTTTAGATATATGTATTCATTGTGGAATGGCTAAATTAAGCTATTTAACATTTACATTACCTCACATACTTACCTTTTTTTGTGGTGAGAACACATAAAATCCACTGTCTTAGCAATTTTCAAACATATAACATACTGTTATTAACTACAGTCACCATGATGTATAAGTAGGTCTCTTGAACCTATTCCTCCTGTCTAACTGAAATTGTAGGCCTTTGACCAACATTTCCCTAATTTCTCCCTGCCTCAGCCTCTGGTAACTACTATTTTACTCTGTTTCTATGAGTTCAGCTTTTTTATACTCTATATGTAAGTATTTGTCTTTCTGTGCCTTGCTTATTTCATTTAACATATTGTCCTCCAAGTTCAAAATGTTATCACAAGTGACCAATTCCTTCTTTTATAAGGCTGAATAGTATTCCATTGTGTATATATGCCACATTTTCTTTATCTGTTCATCCATTGATGAGCATTTAGGTTGATTCCGTATTTTCACTATTGTGAATAGTGCTGCAATAAATGTGGAAGTGCAGGTATCTCTTCAATATATATTGATTTCCTTTCTCTGGATATATACCCAGAAGTGGGATTGCTGGATAATAAAATGTTACATTTTTAATTTGTGGAGGAACCTCCATACTGTTTTCCATAATGGCTGTACCAATTTACATTCCCTCTAGCAGTGTACAGGGTTCCCTTTTCTCCATACCCTCACCAACACTCATTATCTCTCATCTTTTAGTATTAATTATAGCCATACTAACAAATGTGAAGTGTTACCTTATTATGGTTTTGATTTGCATTTCCCTAATGATTACTGATGTTGATCACCTTTTCATATACCTGTTGACCATTTGTATGTTGTCTTTTGAGAAATGTCTATTCGGGTCCCTTGCCCATTTTTTATCAAGTTATTTATTTTCTTGCTATTGAGTTGTGGGAGTTCCTTTTATATTTTGGATATTAACCCCTTATTAGATGTGTGATTTGCAAATATATTCTCCCATTCTGAAGGTTTCCTTCACTCTGTCAATTGTTTCCTTTGCTGTGTAGAAGCTTTTTAGTTTGATGTAATCCTATTTGCCTGTTTTTGCTTTTGTTTCCTGTGTAAAGTTATATGCTTTTGAAAATTCATTTGTTATAAAATAAGAATATAATTTGATCTCTTCTGTCATTTTTTTGTTTTGTTTTTTTACTAGAAGCGGGAAAATGTACAAGAGTCAGAACCTTATTTTGATATTTTACTTCTTACCAAATATTAACTTAGCATGGCACTTCCCAGAGACCTTATTTGGCCTGAGTGACAAAAATGACATTGAAATCAATGATAAGAGAAGGAAGGGCATAGAAAAACCGATTACTTTAATCTTTGCGTATTTTTTTAAGTTTTAAACTTTTCTTTTTCTAAGTCAGCAAATCACTTAATATGTATTTAGCATCTGCTGTATCCAAGGACTGTGCACTATGTCACGTGCTGTTTCCAAAGTGCATGGGTACAACGTGGTGACTATAGTTAATAACAGTGTTAATAACTTGATAATCACTTGATAACAAAGTTAATAACTTGATAATCACTAATGATGGGGGTGAAATGGGCAGATGTAGGTTGAAGGATCCCAGCTACTCGGGAGGCTGAGGTGAAAGTATCACTTGAGCCCAGGAGTTTGAGGCCAGCCTGGACAAAAAAGCGAGAGCCCCATCTCTTTACAAAAAAGAATACATAGTTGCAGATCTATAGGTTGAATAAGTCTAGAAATCAGATGTGCAACATGAGGAGTATAGTTAATAATATTGTATTATATTTGGGATTTTTGCTAGAAGAGTAGATTTTAGGTGTTCTTGCCATAGATACACACAAAAGGGGTAACTGAGATAATGGAGTTGTTAATTTGCTTAACATAGTAACCATTTCACTATGTACGTATATCAAAACATCATGTTTACCCCTTAAACATATGTAATTTAAAAATTGAATTAAAAAAATAAAATTACCAAGAGAATAGATTTTAAGTGTTCTCACCACAAAAACTAAGTATATGAGGTAATGCATATGTTAATTAGCTCAATTTAGCCATTCTACAATGCATACATATTTCAAAACATCATTTTGTATACCCTAAATATATATAATTGTTATTTGTCACATTAAAAAATTTAATTTTTACAAAAATTAAATACACAGGTAAAGTGTGAGCGAACTATTATTTAGAAATCCTAGAATGCTGGAATATATGACTTTAAAAGCAGTGGTTTTCAACCTTTTTATCTGCTTCAGCATACTTGAGAGAAAGGATATAATTTAATAGTGGCTTACTATAAGGGTGAAAAAGTCTAGAAAGAAGCATGTGTGCTTTGAAAATAGCTCTACCCCCTGCTTATTTTGAAGCCTTCATCCCACTACATATCTAGCTTTCATGCACCCACAAATCAAAAATTACTGGGAGAATAATGAGACTTTTTAGACCCATATATGATAGCTTTTTTATACAAATAAGTATTGTCTTTTTTCCAGTGGTACTTGTATAAAACATTTTTGTGACACTTCTTTTGGAAGACAGTTCTAACAATTGATGGACCCATTAAGGAACCTGATCTCATTATGTGAGTCTTATCCTATGTTTGACCCAAAAAAAAAAAAAAAAAAAAAAAAACACCTTATATTGCCTACCTTGATTACCAACTTCATTTACCATACCTTATTTCCAAAATACTTTGGTTCATTTCCCTAAAAACAAAACTACTCTGAGTTGATAAAGACTGGCTCCTCCCCATGAGGCAAGCCTAGACAAGAGTCAGCTCTATGGGCAGATTCAAGGAAAAGTTTCTAATCTTGTCAATAGTGTCTTCAGTGGTTGTTCAAACTCAGGAACTAAAACACCTGGGACCTAAAAGTTCTGATGTGTATGAAAAAAAAACATCAACATTATCATATATTTGTATCTCAGGTAGGTAGGTGGTTGTATAATTTCTTTTTTGTTAATGTTTATTCATTTTCTATTTGTCAAAAAATGACTACGTGATTATTTTTGAAGCATTCTCCAGTCTCACATGACCATCTTATTGTCCTCTCTTTGTGCTTACCTCTGCAGGTGAAGGTTGCTATCCTTAAATACATAGAAACTCTGGCCAAACAGATGGATCCAGGAGATTTTATAAATTCCAGTGAAACGCGCCTAGCAGTGTCTCGGGTCATTACTTGGACAACAGAACCTAAAAGTTCTGATGTTCGGAAGGTGTGTTTTAATATAAGGTTTAGAAGATAAGTTGGGAAGGCAAGTAAGTAGTTTTGGATTGCCAGTGAAGGAAGCTAATATTTTCAGGACGTTGCCAGTTAGAAGTGAGTTATGAAGATCTTTTAAAAAATCTTTTAATTTAAATTACTTTAAATCTTATCCAATTAATATGAACATAATTTTCAAACTTAGAATCAAAAATAGCTGTCCTTGCAACAATCCTCCGAACCTCTAATCTTGTAACCATTCACAATATCAAATCATTCCCCTTGCATTTACTTATGTATTTCAAATAAGAGCTTATACTGTTTCTTGATTTATCAACTGCAGGCATTGTTTATTGATTTATTGATAAATGTAGGCATTATGTGTCTGTCTATCTTGGTAAGTGAGGACTTAGCTTCCCCATATCATTCCCACATTCTTTGCTATATCCTTCCCATATTCATAAGTATTATGAATCTATCGATAATCAGTAGAAAAGAGTTACATTTGGCTGTGTTTACTCCTATACAGAGTGATTTGTTACTACCTCTTTCTTACAGAAACTTAATTTGTCCTGGAGTTAATAGTTTGCCTTATTTTTCATTTGCCTGTATTTTTTAAAATGTTTTTTTAGTATTTGTTAATATTTTCAATACTTCTGCCACTTGCTGATGGCTAACATTTTCCATATGCTCAAAAACATAGGTTATTTATTTTCTGAAGAGCTTCTTCCTAGACCCTCTGATCTCTTCTCCAATTTGGACATGTTTCTCCCTAGGCCTGCTGCACAGGTATCTTCCTGGAACTTCTCTCCAACATCTTCCTGAGACTTTTCTTCATCTCTAATTATTTATTTCCTGCATCCTGTATCTACTTCTATTTACTCTCTTTGGTGAATCATTTTCTTCAATATTTGCTGCAAAAGAGTACACAGAATATAAATTTTGTGATCTTTATTTGCAGTGATGAACACTGTACCCCAAAATAGCAGAATGTAAATTATTCTCAAGTACACATGGAACATTCTGCTTGCTAGGCCATGAAATAAACCTCAGTAGTTTAAAATGATAGAAATAATACAAAGTATGTTCTTTGACCACAATGGAATGAAATTAGAAACCAGTAACAGAAGGAAATTTGGGAAGCTCACAAATACATGGAAATTAGACAGCTCACTCCTAAATAACCAGTGGGTCAAAGAAGAAATCAAAAGGAAAATTTGAAAATACAATTGAAATGAATGAAAATGAAGACATAACATATCAAAACTAATGGGATACAGCTAAAGCAGTGCTTAGAGTGAAGTTTATAGCTGTTAATTCCTATAATAAAAAGAAAAAAGATCACTAATCAGTAACCCAATTCATCACCTTAAGACACTGGAAAAAGAGGAGCAAACTAAACCTGAAGCCAGCGGAAGGAAGAACATAATCAAGATTAAAGCAGAAATTAATGAAATAGAGGATAGGAAAACAATAGAAATGAAAACAGTGAAACCAATAGCTGGTTCTTTGAAAAGATCAACAAAACTGACAGACCTTTAGCTAGATGGATCAGGATAGAAAGAAGACTCAAATTACTAGAATTAGAAATGAAAGAGGAAATATATAATAACTAATGACCTTACAGACATAAAAAGGATTATAAAGGAAAAATACGAATAATTGTATGCCAATAAATGAGGTAGCTTACATGAAATGGACAAATTCCTAGAAAGACACAAACTGCCAAAACTGACTCAAGAGGAAACAGATAATGCGAATAGAACTATTAACAAGTAAAGAGATTGACTTAGTAATCAAAAACTATGCACAGAGAAAAGCTCAAGCTCAGATGGCTTCACTGATGAATTCTACCAAACATTAATACCAGTTCTTCACACATCTTCCAAAAAAACAGAAGAGGAAGGAACACTTCTCAATTCATTCTATGAGAGCAGTTTTACCCTGATACCAAAACAGAGATACCACAAAAAAACAACTACAGACCAGTATTTCTTAGGAATATGGATGCCTTGATCCTCAACAAAATACTGGCAAACCAAATCCAGCAATATATAAAAAACAATTATATACCATGGCCATGGCCAGGTGGGATTTACCCTAGGAATGTAAAGTTAGGTTAACATCCAAAAATCTACTCGTGTAATAAACCATATCAATAGTGGGGGGGGGGGGGCACACAAAAATCATGGGATCATCTCAATAGACACAGAAAAATAAAACTCTAAGAAGAAAGCATAGGGATAAATCTTCATGACCTTGGATTTGGCAATGGATTCTTAGATATGATACCAAAAACACAAGCAACAAAAGGATAAATTAATTAGATTTCATCAAAATTAAAATTTGGAATCTAAATCCCAAGAACAAGTATATCGATGTGACTGTAGAAACCATTGGCACATTTTTAAGTAAGGGGATGATACAACCTATGTTTTTAAAGGTTATGCTGGCTGATGTCACAAAAATGGACTGTTGGAGTTTTGTGTAAGGGAAAAGAGTGGAAAGGGTAGGGCTGATACTGAAAGGAATCTAATTCCACATCTATTGTAGTAGGAAGTCACTAGAAAATGTCTCAAGCTGATAAATCAAGAAATAATTGTATAATCCCATGAATGCCTAACTATCAGTAAAAATAGACATTACAAAGGGGAACTTTGGAGAGCTGAACAGAGGAATTGAGATTTAAAAACCTTTCCTAAAACTAGGTTTTTTAAATCTGTATGTATATATTATTTTGATTTAAAGATGTGAAAAATTATTTTAAAATAACTATAAAATATATTTAGTAAAATAAATGTGACATTAGAAAATAAAAAACCAACAGAAGTGAAGGACATGAGGAAAATATACTAAAGCTATAGTATTTTAAGTCATGTGATGCTAACATGGAAATAGACAAATTGGCCAGGTGCAGTGGCTCACACCTGTAATCCTAGCACTTTTGGAGGCCAAGGTGGGAGGATTGCTTGAGGCCAGGAGTTTGAGACCAGCCTGAGCAATAGTGAGACCCTGTCTTGACAAAAATTGTAAAAAATTAGCCAGGCATGGTGGCACATGCCTATAGTCCCAGCTACTTGGGAGGCTGAGACAGGAGGATTGCTTGAGCCCAGAAGTTTGAGGTTTCAATAAGCTATGATGACTCCGCTGAGCTGTAGCCCAGGCAACAGAGCAAGACCCTGTCTCAAAGAAAAAATAGACAAATCAGTGGAACATGAAGGAGGGTCCAGAGAGACACTGAGATTCATATAAGAGATTAGTTCATAGTAAGGGTGTCATGAGGAAAGGATAGACTCATTGGTAAATGGTTTGGGAACAGCTGGGTTTTCTGTCCCTGGGGGTAAATAAATAAATAAAGCTGAATCTCTAAACCAAAATAAACTCTAGGTGGAGTAAAGTATATGTTAACAATCATTAGTTCATTTGCACAAATTAGCTGGAGGTCCTTTCAGTGTTGTAGTTCCAAAAAAGACAAAAGATCATAAATTGCTTTCACAATGCAGATTGCTTTATGTAATCACTATTAACATGTTAGTATGTATACTCACACAATGTATGTTTTGTTTTTTAAAATTGAGCTCATGTTATAATATTTTTCCTTCAGGAGTATATAATAGACGTCTCTCAATATCTATGTAAATAGAGCTACATCTTCAAAGACTGTGTGTTGTGTAGTGTTCCATTGTTCCAATATAACATAATATAATCATTCTCCCTAGTGTCGTATATTCAAATGCCGTAAACATAGAATACTTAAGTTTTCATAGACTAGAGTCAAAAAATGTTCAGAACAAGATGTGCAGATTTAACTGCAAGTCACCATTTGAATTTCTCTCTCCTCTCAGTTAAGTTTCTATATAATCTGAATTTCAAAGTTTAGTTTTTAATAATTGAGTTAATTAGAAGAAGAAAAGAAATTTATAAATTTTCTTAGGCTGGGCCTGGTGGTTCATGCCTGTAATCCTAGCACTCTGGAAGGCTGAAGCAGGAAGATTGCTTGAGCTCAGGAGTTGAGACTAGCCTGAGAAAGAGAGAGATCCGACTCTACCAAAAAAAAAGGGAAAAAAAACCCAGCCGGCTTTGCAGCATGTGCCTGTAGTCCCAGCTACCTGGGAGGCTGAGGCAGAAGGATAGCTTAGAGCCCAGGAGTTGGAGGTTGCAGTGAGCTACAGTGACGCCACTGCACTCTACCCAGGGCTGCAGAGACTGTGTCAACAAAAACAAACACGGTAATTTTTTAAAATTAAAAAAAAATTTTTTTTTAAGTTTTCTTAAAAGGAATATATAAGTTTTCTTAACTAAGTAAGCTTTATTTTCTTCCCTTTTCCACAAAACATTAGACTTATTTTAGCTTAAAATTACACACTTAGATTAGTTGCTTGAGAAAAGACTAGATAGTGCTAGTTAATTGAAGAATCACATATTGAAAAAGTAGAAATTATAGTGTTAAGTAACTGTGGATGGGCTTTATATAGCCATTCTTTTTCCTTGTAATCATTTATTAGGAAAACCAAAGTACTATGGTAGCATGTATTGATAGAGAAATCCCAGAAACTGTCTGGTTAACTTTTGCTATTGTTTGTGAGGTTGTATTTTTTGTATTCCCTTCTTACCTTCAAAAAATAAAAGGTATGTATGCCTTTGTTTTCTAGGCAGCACAGTCGGTGCTGATTTCTTTATTCGAACTCAATACCCCAGAGTTTACAATGTTATTAGGAGCTTTACCAAAAACTTTTCAGGATGGTGCTACCAAGCTTCTTCATAATCACCTTCGAAACACTGGCAATGGAACGCAGGTATTTCTCACTTATTTTCTTGGCTGTTGTACAATGTGATGGTTGATTTAACAATAAATGCTTTTACATGAAGTAAACTTGATCCTAGTATATGATTTTTGCATCTGCACTTGGCAGCATTTCCTGAGCAGAATTAAATACTGTCTTGTAAGAATAGAGGCCCTAGGCGTGTCATGCTTGTTTTATAATTTGTGTACATTAGGGTGGTGGTGAACAGTGGCAACAGTGTGAACGAGGAAAGCAAAATGTGAGCAGAACATAGATGAGGGTACTAGCTTTGGAAGCCATTAAAATTAAGACATGCTCCTTAGAAGAACCAGTCCCTATTTGAGGACTAGCAGGGATGACTTCTTCCAGCGTTAACAAATAAGATTCGAAGAGGGTGGTACTTAAAAAAGTATGTTCACATTTAATGATTACAGGCTTGTCAGTCCATATGTGTTTGGATATGAAGGATTTTGTTTTGAGAAAGTAAGATCTGAGTAAATGAAGCATTGCATTGAGATAGATACATATATACGGGGGGGGGGGCGGATTTCACTGTATGAAATAATTTACATAATATGCCCAAAGAATTGAGCTAAAGTTTTAAAAAGAAAGACCTTTGCTAACATATAAAGGAAAAGGTAAATGCATTGATGGCAGGCTTAAGGTAAAGTCTGAGGAATGTTAAAAGTAATCTGAGAACAATTTCTGTGACCCAAAGTTCATTATCTTTTTAAAAGGAAAAGGGATTGTTTCATTATATCTTAAGAGATAGACATATTAATAATATAACCATCTTTTACTCCCTTGGTGTCTTTGAGAAAATCATTTGTAAAGCAAACTCAAGGTATAAAATTGGAGCACTAGTAATTGTTGGAGGAAGGAAATTGGCTCAGAACAGGAAGCTAATTTAAAATTATTAGTGTAGGATCTTGTTGAATCCTTGAGGGAAAAGTTATTAATAATATTTGAGAGCAGGAAGCAGGTGAGGAAAACAGAAAAAGACTAAAGAGTTAGATTTCTAAAAGGGGAGAAATTTTTTTCCTCCAAAAACTACATATAAGTACATGAATATTTAAAATATTGACCTGTAAATATGGTTCTTTCATGTGTTCCAACCTCATGTTTTTGTGGCTTCCTTAAGAGTTTTTTGGTTACATTTATAATATGTTAATATTAATTTGATTCCCTCCATCAGAGTTCCATGGGGAGTCCTTTGACAAGACCAACACCACGATCACCAGCCAACTGGTCCAGTCCTCTTACTTCTCCTACCAATACATCACAGAATACTTTATCTCCAAGGTAAAAAAAAGATAATTTTCCATTATGGTTTGTATTTGCAAATTCCCATTCTTAGAAAAGCAAATGTTAATATAATTCCAATCAATTCTCATTTGTCTTGAAAAGTTAGAAAAGTAGAAACAGCAAATTCAAAAATTTTAAGTTTATATGAAAGCTGTTTAAATGATAATATATAGGATATAGAATTTTTTTATAAGAAGAAAACCTGACACTGCTTTTATAAATTACTGCTTGTTGCATTAAATAGCATAGTTAATGTTTCTCAGAGATGCTAACATGTAGTATATATAGAGATGCTAAATCCAATAAATTGTGTCTTTCATTTACATTATACTACTCAGTATAAATGGCGGGGTCAATTATAATGATGGATATTTAGATCTAATGTTGACCAACCACCTCTAAAGTAGGAAAAAATATTAGGCTTACAGGGAAAATATAAAAGTAGAGAAGAACGGGGGCGGGGAGGCAAGGGCAGCATATGTAACCTAAACATCCGTACCCCCATAATATGCTGAAATAAAAAAAAAAGAAGAAAAAACAAAAAAAAAAATAGAGAAGAACAAATAGGGAAGGGGTAAATATATAACGTTTATTATAGAGATATATAGATACCTATAATGAATATATACTTCTGAGGAAAAAATGTAACTGAGAGATTGGTCCTTAATACAAAATAAAAGATGTGTATAATTTTCACACATTTGCACAATTTAAGCATAGGATGGTTTTTTTGTTTTGTTTAAGACAGAGTCTCACTCTGTCCTCCAGGCTAGAGTGCATTGCTATCATCATAGCTCACTGCAACCTCAAACTCCCTGGCTTAAGCGATCCCCCTACCTCAGCCTCCCAAATAGCTGGGACTACAGGCATGCGCCACCATGCCTGGCTGATTTTTTTTTTTTGTAGAGATGGGGTCTTGCTCTTTGCTCAGGCTGGTCTCAAACTCCTGGCCTCAAGCAATCCTCCTGCCTTCGCCTCCCCAAATGCTAGGATTATAGGTATGAGCCACTGTGCCTGATCCATGGGCTATATTTGAAATGAAGTTCATTACTCATTAATAGACTAACATTTTTTCCCTATTCCTGGCCTTTTGAAAAATAGTTTGCATAGTAGTTCGTATTTATAGTTAATAGCTTGATTTTTGTTATTAGTCATATACCATAGCATGCTTCATCAGATTATCCATTAAAATTATAGGACAATTCACAAGCATCTAAGAAAGACACATTGCGTATTTATTGTCTAGTGTATTTCTTCCATGTTATACACATGTAACAATTTTGGTGGCTAAATTTTAGCTTCGGTTCAATTTCAGAATTTGATTATAGAATTCATGTCAATAACATTTATGTTCAATAATAACAATTCTCTGCCTTCTTATAAATTTCTGTTAAAAGACATTTAGTTCCTCTTCAAGAAGTACTATTATTGAGAGTTAATCACAGGGATTAGCAAACTTTCTGTAAAGAGTTAAGTGGTAAATATTTTAGATTTTCTAAGCCATGTGGTCATTGTGACCACTACCCAGCTCTGCTGTTGTAGTACAAAAACAGCCATAGACAATACCTAAACAGTATGACTATGTTCCAACAAAATTTTATGGACACTGAAATTTGAATTTTATATAATTTTTGCGTGTCATGAAATTTTGTTTTTAACCATTTAAAAATGTAAAAAACATTCTTAGTTTGCAAGATATCCATAGTTTGTCTGACCCCTGGTTAATCATTTGAAGGCGGAAAGACAAAACAGTTATTAAGGGTTGTGCGTTCTAGAGTCTTTGTAAGCTGTCCTTGGTGGAAGGACAAGGGGACGTATACTTTAACCATTTACAGCTGCCATGTTTTATTTTGCTAATTATGCTTTGGAGAATATACATTCTCTAATCCTGTCTTTATAAATATCCTCAAATGTGTTTGCATTTTAAAACTACACATAATTAAAAATCAGTGTTGTCTTTTTCATAGTGCATTTGATTATGACACAGAAAATATGAACTCTGAAGATATTTATAGCTCTCTCAGAGGTGTCACTGAAGCAATCCAAAATTTCAGCTTCCGTAGTCAAGAAGATATGAATGAGCCATTGAAAAGGGATTCTAAAAAAGATGATGGTGATTCAGTGAGTATCTAAATATCTTTACTTTGCAAACTATTTCATTTTTCATTAAGAATATATTTTTTTAACTTTGTTATTTTCAAATAAACTTTTCTAAAGAGTCAGTCACTCCATTAGTATTTACTGAGTATCCGCCACATGCCAGGCACTGTTTTGGACGTGTTAGATTTACAAGACAAAGTCTCAGCCTTCAAGTTCCTTTTAAATTTTCATATAGGAATGAGAACTATGGAGTTTAAGATTAGAATGTGCCTTAGATGAAAGGACCTATTTTAGATCGTGTGATCAGGGAAGGCCTCTCTCATTGAGTGACATTTGCATTGAGCCCTAACTAAAGCCACACAAAATCTGGAGGAGAATTCCATGAAAGAATTAGCAAATGCAGAGACACTTCGATGGGAACAAGCTTTGTATAGTTGAGGACCAGGAAGAAAGCCAGTATAGTTGGAGCATGAATGAAAGGGGGAGTGGAACATGGGCCAGATCACGTGAGTCTTGTAAAACAAAATAAGGGGTTTAGATCTTTTTTTCCCTGTTAAGTGTAGTGATAGTGATTTGCCATCATCAGTTTATGTGGCTCCAGTTAACACTATTATGATCTATCTTTCTGACATATATGAATATTATTGTTTAGTTTGTTGCTTCTGCCATTATATAAAAAATAGTTGTTTTATACTTTGCTGCTTCTTAGACTTTTCTGTGACAGCTTAGACTTTTCTCAGAACAAGTCATCCCACCAGTTCCTGTGGAACCCATTGTTTCTCAGTGTTTACAAAATTGCAGAACATTGTAGCACTTCAGCACATCTCTAACAGGCTCCTTCCTCTGTCTTCCTGACTTATTTCCTGCTGTGGTTTTTCTCCCCATGCTCATCTGGCAGGGCTAGGTTGTGGGTGGCTTAGTAAAATGGCTGCCAAAAACCAGCCTACCAGTAATAGTTAAGATCCCCTGTTCTAAAAGCTGCATGTGGTACAATGACAGGTTAGTAAGAATTATCACTTAACACATTAACTGCCATATGAGTTGTATTGAAGTCACTCTAGTTTTGAGCCTGGAGTCTCATGAAGCAAATGTAACTCACACGTGTCTCTTTACCTTGGGAGGCATGTGAACTATGTTTCAAGTTGCATATAACTCACACAAAGAAAGCAATAAAAAATAACAAATTTGTCATTAAATCAGAAAGGAACATTTTGGTTTTGAAGTTTTTATTCTATTTTCATAATAAAACACGGTGGCCCCAAGGAAAAGTTTTTTTTTCTAGTGTGGCAGTCAGCGTATTAATTGAGACCCACTTTTGTTTTGTTTTTTCAGATTCATCATGGTACAGGTGGGGAACTCAAGTAGTGGATTTTGACAGAATGAATTCAAATCCTAGTTCCTGGCAGTTATTAGTGAGTCAAGTTATCACTTCTAAGCCTCAGTGTCTTCATAAGGAAAATAGGGATATTACTGCCTACCTTAAAAATTGTTGTGAGAATCCTATGAATCCATTCAGCCCAGATCTCTCTCCTGAGCTCCACATTCATACATTCAGCTACCTATTTGAACTCCTGGTCATCTCCCCTAAAACTGCTCTTCCCTGTTTTAGTTGAGGGCAATACTAGTTGCCCAGCCAAAAACTTTGGAGAGAAGAGTTGTCCTTATGTTACAGCGACCGGTCCCAAAGGGAATAACCGAGTGGCACGCGGAGAGTTGGACAGTCAGCGTTTTATTCGCCAGCGGGCCCAGAGGAGACTTGTCTCCAAATTCTGAGCACCGCTTCCTTATTTTTGTCTAGTCTTATACTTTTTTGGGTTACACACATCCAATAGCATACAAGCATAAGTGGTTAACCAATTAGCAACAGGATTCAAAAGATAGCCAATTAGCAGTAGTTTTTATAGGCATTTGTTTTGTGACAGGCTTATAACTTTGCTTAACTGTTTTGCGGTTTTAGTGGAATTTCCCGGAAGTTTCCTAATACCATTTCTCAGAAGTTCCCCTAACACTTAAGTCTTCTCTTTTTCTCATCCTCCACACCAAATCTGTCAGGAAATCTTTTTTTTTTTTTTTTTTTCCACAGAGTCTCACTATGTTGCCCAGGCTAGAGTACCATGGCATCATCCTAGCTCACAACAACCTCAAACTCCTGGGCTTAAGCAATCCTTCTGCCTCAGCCTCTTGAGTAGCTGGGACCACAGGCGTGTGCCACCACGCCCAACTAATTTTTTTTTTTTTTGTATTTTTAATTGCCTGGCTAATTTTTTTCTATTTTCAGTAGAGACAGGGGGTCTCACTCTTGCTCAGGATGGTCTTGAACTCCTGACCTCAAGCCTTGGCCTCCCAGAGTGCTAGGATTATAGGCGTTAGCCACTGTGCCCGTAATTGGCCTTCTTGATTCTGCCCTTGGCCTCTTGCAGTCTGTTGTCACTCTTCTACTGAACTCCATAGGAAGTACCTGTGTCAGAGTAAAAACCAAAGTCTACATGATAGGCAGTTTCCTGTTACTTCTCTGGCCTCATCTCCTGTTAGTTTCTTTGTTCACTGTGCCCTTGCCACACTGGCCTCCTTGCTGATCCTCGAACTTACTGGGCATGTTGCTACCTCAGAGTCTTTGTTGTTAGCTGTTTCTGCTACCTCAAACACTCTTCTTGCAGAAAGCCCCATGGCTAATTTCCTCACTTGTCTCAAGTGTTTGCTCGAATGGCTTCTAAGCGAACCCTACTCACCCTATTTAGTCTGTGAACTCTACCCTTCCACCTCTGCACTTGTAATCCCTTTAATACCACACTGTCTATTCTTTGGAGACAGGGTCTTGCTCTTTTGCCTGGGCTAGAGTTCAGTGGCATCATCACAGCTCACAGCAACCTCAGACTCCTGGGCTCAAGCAATCTTCCTGCCTCAGCCTCCCAAAGTGCTAGGATTACAGATGTGAGCTACCACACCTAGCCCCCTATTGTTTTTTTTCTCATAGGCTGATCACCTATCATACCATATACTTTACTAATTCATTAATTTGTTTTATTGTGTCTGTCCCTCCACTACAATGTAAACAGCACAAGGGTAGACATCGTTCTCTCTTATTCACTAATATATTCCCAATGCCAAAAACAATGCCAGTCATGTAATAGGTACATAGTAAATATTTGAAAAATATTTCTAAAGTGCCTAGCAGATGGCTTGACACATAGTTGCTCAGTAGATGGTGGTGATGATGATGTTCGTGACAGTAATGATTTTGATACTGGTGTTTGGATCAGTATTAGTATTCATGTTTTGGTAAGTATATCAATGTACCCAAACTCCATTGGCATCCTTCCAAAAATTATGCAGGCCTTTAATCTTTTCATTATTTCCTTAAAGCAGGCTTTTTAAAATTTGGTTTTCTTATACTTTGTTGGCATACTATCATTATATAATTTACCATTACCTTAATAATGGAATCTGGCAGCTGTTATTTCTGTGTTGCTAGTGAAAGTCCTTTTCTATCTTTAACTGGCATGGAGAAGCTATTGCAAATCATACTGTATATATTGTTCAAGCCGTTAACAAGGGAACTGTAATAATCATTGGAGAAAGCATTCTTTCACGGTTCTTATTTGCCTTCACACCTGTGGTTTCTTTACATCTTTACCATAAGCTTTGGAATTTTAAATATAAATTTTAATGCATAATGTCAATTGTCATTATTTAACTTTTCTCAGCTGATTATTGTTCCCTTTTTAAAACTGCCTTTTAAACAATAGGAAAATATCTTTTTAGAATGGTATAGAGATATTTTAAAATGAGTTAATTTGCTGTGCCTTCCTCCTCTCCATTGATAGATGTGTGGCGGTCCCGGGATATCAGACCCAAGAGCAGGAGGTGATGCTACTGACTCAAGCCAAACAGCTCTTGATAATAAAGCTTCATTGCTCCATTCAATGCCTGCTCACTCCTCTCCACGCTCTCGAGACTATAATCCATATAACTATTCAGATAGCATCAGTCCCTTCAACAAGTCTGCCCTCAAGGAAGCCATGTTTGATGATGATGCTGACCAGTTTCCTGATGGTATGTTCTGGGTCACATGCTGCTACTAACTGTGTTTTAGGGGACTGGTAATCAGTGACACAAAAGAAATGTATATGCTCTTTTATTGTAACTCCCTAAAAAGTAAGGATCTTTGAGATGAGAATGTTTTCTCCCATCTTGTAGGAGTTCATTTCTAATGGTTTGGTAGTTTTCTTCCCCAGAATGAGAAACAGGGTAGTTATCTTGGGATCATCCTCAAAATCAAGAAAACCTTAGTGACCTCCCAGAAACAACAAAAACCAATTATAGCTTGTAAATTTAGTTTATCTCTAGACACAAGTCATTCAGCCATTAATTTTCATACCAGAATGCAAAAATCTTTGAAGAAATACCCTTTCTTTATAATAGCCCTTTGAGTGTGAAGCCATAAACAAATTACTTTTCTAATTAGACACATTTCAAGGACCAAATATGAGGGAAGCTACTATTAGGATTTAGAGTTAGGTTAAATGTGCTTAGGTCTGAGCTCTAACACTTACTAAGCTGCATAACTTAGTTAGGTGTTTGACCTTCCTGAGTCTCAGTTGTTACCCTTAAAGAGGTTGGTGATGATTGTACTACCTGTCTTTCTGATAAGATGTATAAAAACTGATGATAAAGTACAAAGCCCTACAAATGCCTTTGGGGTATTTTTGTTGTTGTTTATTATTATTTTTTAATAGGGATGGGGTCTCACTGTGTTGCTTAGGCTGGATTCAAACTCCTGGGCTCCAGTGATATTCCCACCTTGGCCTCCCAAGTAGCTGGGACTATAACCTGTGCCACTGTACCCAGCTAGTTGGGTTTGTTTTGTTTCATTTTGTTTTCTTTGATCCAGAGTCTTGCTCTTGTCACCCCGGCTAGAGTACAGTGACGTCATCATAACTCACTACAACCTCAAACTCCTGGGCTCAAGTGATCCTCCTACCTCAGCCTCCCAAGTAGCTGGGACTATAGGCATGCACCACCACACTGGGCTAATTTTTCTATTTTTAGTAGAGACGAGGTCTCACTCTTGCTCAGGTTGGTCTCGAAATCATGACCTCAAAGGATCCTCCCACCTCAGCCTCCCAGAGCGTTAGGATTATGGGCATGAGCCACCGCGCCTGGCTACCATCTAGTTATTTTTAATAATAAGGATTTACATTTATTTTATAAATTGCATAATTTATTAATTCTTTCGTTTTTTAAAATAACCATTTGTAGGTAAACTTGAAAGTCTTTCTCTCAACACTATCCCATGATTCTGCCTTTACCTAGTTTCTGGTTTTTCTTTATTCCCATAATGTTGCTGTCAGTGAACATATTTCTGCGTAAACTTTTATGGACATTTACAAATAATTCACTGTTAAGAGATTTCTAGAGATGCAATTGCTCAATTAAGGGATATATGAATTTAAAATTTGAGAGCTGGTATCCAATTACATCTCAAAACATTTGGCCAGTTTAAGTAATGCTGATTTCCTCACCAACAGAATGTTTAAATGTTTTTAATTTTTGTGATTGTGATAGATACAAAATAGGTCATCTTAATGTGTATTTCCTTGACTTTCAGGGAGATTGAGGAACTATTATAGATATTAGAAATCTTTTTGAATTTGTGTAATTTTTGATGAGTGGAAAAATAACTTCACATGTATTTCTTTAATTACAAATGAGGTTGAGGAATCATGTTTTTATCACCCTCTCATGTTGAAAGGGTGTCTCCAATATCATAAAGCCCAAATTATGGCAACTTACCAAACTAAGTCAAAATTGCACGATAATATAGAAAATTGCCACAATATGGACTTTGGTCTGTGTTTTTCATCTGTCACAAATAGTTGAGTGTGTTGCTGAGGTTTAGTCATAATATCAGTGTAACATGAATGAATAAATCGGACTGAGCATGAAGGTATTTTTTGAACACTATGTGGTAGCAACAGCCTGGTAAGTTGAGAGTTACCTTTAGCAGCTTTAATTATTTAAAAATTATTTATGCATATGGGTCACAAACTGGGCAGACTAAATTGGATCCACTGACATTTCTTGCATCGATTACACTATGTGTATGTGTGTGTGTAATTTTTTTTTGAAAGAGGAAGTGAGGTTCAATTTCCTTTTTTTTTTTTTTTGAGACAGAGTCTTACTCTGTCACCCTGGGTAGAGTGCGGTGGCATCATCATAGTTCACTGCAGCCTCCAAACTCCTGGGCTCAAGTGATCCTCCTGCCTCAGCCTCCTGAGTAGCTGGAACTACAGGCATGTGCCATGATGCCCTACTTACTTTTCTATTTTTAGTAGAAACAGTGTCTCACTCTTGTTCAGGCTGGTCTCAAACTCCTGAGCTCAAGTAATTCTCCCACTTCGGCCTCCCAGAGTGCTAGGATTATAGACATGAGCCACCATGCCCATCCAATTTTTTTTAATTTTAAAATGATCAAAAGAACTTTTCTTCCTGCATCATTCGAAAGTAAGTTACCGACCTGATACTGCCTTACCCCAAATACTTTAAGATTCATTTTCTACAAAAACATTCTCCTACATAACCACAATAATATTTATCAAAATCAGGAAATTAGCCAGGTGAGTAACACACGCCTGTAGTCCCAGCTACTCAGGAGGCTGAGCCGGGAGAGTCCCTTGAGACCAGGATTCGAGTCTGTAGTACCCTACGATCATACCTGTGAATAGCCACTGCACTCCAGCTTGGGCAATATGGTAAGACCCCATCTCTAAAAAAATTTTTAATTAAAAAAAAATCAAGAAATTATCATTTGTACATTAATAACCACCTGATCCTTAAACTCCATTAGAATTTTGCCAGTTGTCCCAGTAATACCTTTTTTTTCCAATTACTTTGTTTTATTAAATACTTAACATAAAACTTACTATCTTAGGCATTTTAAATATACAGTTCAGTGGTATTAAATGCATTCATATTGTTGTTCAACCATCACAACCATCCATCTCCGTAACATAACTCTTTTCATGTTGTAAAACTGACACTCCATACCCATTAAATAATAACTCCCCACTCCCTACCCCAGCCCTGGGAACAATCATTCTACTCTCTCTATGATTTTGACTACTCACAGTACCTCATATAAGTGGAATCATGCAGTATTTGTCTTTTGTAACTGGCTTATTTCGTTTAGCATAATATCCTCAAGATTCATTCATGTCGTAGCATGTGTCAAAATTTTCTTCCTTTTTAAGGCTGAGTAATGTTCCATTGTATGTATATGTCACATTTTGCTTATCCATTCATCCATTGGTGGACACTTGGGTTGCTTCCATGTTTTAGCTGTTGTGAATAATGCTGCTATGAACATTGGTGTATAAATACCTCTTTGAGACTTGGTTTTCAATTCTTTGGGGTATATACCCAGAAGCAGAATTGCTGGATCATATGGTAATTCTATTTTTAATTTTTTGAGGAATCCCTATACTGTTTTCCACAGCAGCTATACCTTTTTACATTCCCATCTACAGTGCACAAGGGTTTCATTTTCTGCACATCCTCACCACTACTTATTTTGAGTTTTTTTAGTAGTAGCCATCCTGATGGGTATGAGGCAATACCTCATTGTAATTTTGATTTTCATTTCCCCAGTGATTAGTGATGTTGAGCATCTTTTCATGTGCTATTGACCATTTGTATATCATCTTTATAAAAAAATCTTTTCTAATCTATTGCCCATTTTTTAATTAGATTGGTTTTTTTGTTGTTGAGTTGTAGGTTTTCTCTTTAGTTTCTGGATATTAATTCCTTGTCAGATATATGCTTTGCAAATATTTTCTCCCATTCTGTGGGTTGCCTTTTTACTCTGTTGATACTGTCTTTTGATACATAAAATTTTTAAATTCATGAGGTTCAGTTTGTCAGTTTTTTTGTTGTTGCCTTCATGTCAGTTCCAAGAAGTCACTGCCAAATCTAATGTGAAGATTTTAACTTCTTCTAAGAGTTTTATAGTTTTAGGTCTTACATTTAGGTCTTTGATCCATTTTGAGTTAATTTGTATATGGTGTGAGGTAAGGTTCAACTTCATTCTTTTGCATATGGATATCCAATTTTCCCATCACTGTTAAGAAGACTATCCTTTCCCCATTGAATGGTCTTGGCACCATTGTCAAAAATCATTTGACCATATATGCAAGGACTGATTTCTGGGCTGTCTATTCTATTCCATTGTTCTGTATGTCTGTCTTTATTCTAGTAACACACTGTTTTGATTACTGTAGCTTTTTAGTAAGTCTTGAAATCAGGAAGAACTGTGACTCCTCCAGCATTATTGTTTTTCGAGATTATTTTGGCTATTTTGGGTCACTCGAGATTCCATATGAATTTTACGGTAGATTTTTTTATGTCTGCAAAAAATATCGTTGGGATTTTGATAGGGATTGCATTTAATCTGTAGATCACCTTGGATGTTATTGAGATCTTAATGGTAAGTCTTTCAATTTATGAAAATGGGATGTGTTTCCATTTATTTATATCTTTTATTTCTTTCAGCAATGTTTTCTAGTCCTCATTATATAAGTCTTTCACCTCCTTGGTTAAGTTAATTCCTAAGTATAGTCATGCAGCACATAATGACATTTTTGTCAACAACAGATCACACATACAATAGTCCCATAAGATTATAATAGAGCTGAAAACTTTCTATCGCCTAGTGACGTCACAGTGGTTCTAATGTCATAGTGTAATACGTTGCACGTATCTGTGATGATGCTGGTGTAAACAAACCTACTGCACTGCCAGTCATGTAGAAGTATAGTGCGTAGAATTATGTATAGTACATAATATTTGGTAGTGATAATAAACAACTATGTTACTGGTTTATATATTTATATTACTATACTTTTTATCGTTATTTTAGAGTATACTCCTTCTACTTATTAATAAAAAAGACTTAAATGTAAAACAGCCTCAGAGCAGGTCCTTCAGGAGATATTCCCAAAGAAGGCATTGTTATCATAGGAGATGATGGCTCCATGTGTGTTACTGCCCCTGAAGAC